CACAGTGAACGCATAACCTCATGCACTTAGCTCAGAGTCAGTCGGTCACGCTCTCAGTACGTCACATGTGGCCTTTTCTCCTGTTATGTCTATAATTGACGTTCTGATTGCATCACGGCTTTGTTGACTTGATTACGAAATAGAACAAATATATGACAAATGTCCTGATAGCGATTTCATTTTAAAATCTAATTGCATTATATGTGATGCAAGACAAGATTTTGTTGTAGGTTAGAAAGAGTGCGTATCAGTAAGTAGGTCACACGGGATGGATAATGAGTGAGGCTATCAGGAGCACCTAACGATCAGTGTATTAATGCTTGATTTGATAATGGCTGATCTAGTTTAACAAACGACTGACGCACACTTTCATCCTTGTCATTCACAATGATGGTAGTATTGTGCCAATCGTAACCTATGGTAAACAACGCTATGATTATTTATGACAACAGTTATATGTACTCTTATGACTTACGACAAAGTTATTTCCAAAATTGCCAACGATATTAGATATTACCATTACTGGCGACTTTGTTCTTGCAGCTTAGGACAAGCGTAACCTTCAGAATATACGGCAATCGTGACCCTCATAAGTTGCGACAATCGTAGATTACATAGCTTACTAATTGTTCTCGTACCTTAAGACAAATGTAACCTTCACAACATGCGACAATCGTGACCCTCATAAGTTGCGACAATCGTAGATTACATAGCTTACGACTTATTCTCGCAGCTTAGGATCAGCGACAACCTCAGTACGACAATCGTGACCCTCATAACTTACGACAATCGTAAATTACATAACTTACGACTTATTCTCGCAGCTCAAGACAAATGTAACCCATCAAAAAAGCGTGCGACAATCTTAGATTACATAACTTACGACTTCTAGCAGCTTGAGACAAGCGTCACCTTTCGAACTAACGGTCGTAATCCTCATAACGACAATCTTCACTCTCATAACATAGAAAAATCCTTGCTCCCATTGCTTACGACAAGTGTAAGACGTTATTAACGAAGTCATAGCTTTCACAACATAGGACAACCGTAAATTTCATATCTGACCACAGTCGTACCCTTCAGAACCTACCTTACGACAATCGTAGTTTTCATGACTCACGATAATCGTAATACCTGGCCTTCGTAACATTATGATCATTAAGTTAGAAATAAGAGTTTCGCTATCATGAAAATCAGTTTTCGCTTGTTTATATTATATGATATTCCCGTCGATTCACACACTGTTTTGTTCGAAAGAACGGCACTTATATCTCCACGGCACATTGCTCATGATATGGTCATGATATTCTCATAATATGATGGTCGAAGAAAACATCTCCTCAACGAAAATGTAACGACCGAGAAATTGTTTATCGTGAACGGTCGTACATTTTATGGTATAATTCTGCAATCGTTAATAGCGAATGAAAAATATATCCTTTTTATCAAGCTTTCGTTGTTTCTTGCGTGGGATATGTGACGCCTACAGATATCAGAATCTGATTAATTACAAATGCGATTAAACTCATTTTGCAAACAAAAAAATACAGGATGGGTAGCCAGTATCCGTCCATTTTCAAAGGATCATTTAACACTTGAATCGTATAAATAAGACCAACCTTATTTCAGTGAGATTCAAAACTGGCAATGCATCTACGTTTCGCAATCAGTTTAATGAACGTTTAACATCCCACTCAAAATCCAGGAGATTTTAGATTAAGTAATTACCAAAAGGTTGTCTTTTTTAGTATGGCATCATTAATCTCAACCGAGGTTCCATTTCCATACAAGACCAATGAGGACCACATCCACAGTAATTACGTCACTCAATCCTTATCCGGCAAGATATGAGGTGGATCAATCTGACTGATGGGTTTTCAAAGGCATTTGGGTTGTTCAACACTGGCTAGAATTAAGTAATCAGGTGATTTCGTTGTCGAAAGGGTAGAGATTATGTATTCGGCTGTTTGTGTTTGATGCAATCTGTTTTCAAACGATGGCTGAACCTGTTTCCGAGGTATTTTAGGAATCAAACGGTGTTTGCAATTTCCGCAAATACATTTCCGAGCCTTTCAGGTGGGTATTCTGTTGGTCCATGATTTCTGTTAAGATGAGACACTGAGTAAAGTGGTCAACCTCTCATGTCACTACACTAGGATTTCCTTCAGTAAATGGAAAATTACCTACTCTGATCTAAAACAGGTTGTCATAACATGACTTTGCTTAGATTGCCATGGCGTGACTTATGGTATGAATTATTGTATCGTGCTTGAAGGGTGCCTTAACATGAAGTGAGTCAGTGAGTGAGTTTAGTTTTACGCCGCTTTTAGCAATATTCCAGCAATATCACGACGGGAGACAACCAGACATGGGTTTCACACATTGTACCCATGTGGGGAATCGAACCCGGATCTTCGGCGTGACGAGCGAACGCTTTAACCACTAGGTTACCCCACCGCCCCTGACATAATGTGATGGAAAGTGCTATTTCATGAATTAACAAAGGTTCCGTGTTCATTTCAAAGCAGTAAGTTTGAATAAATCCGAACACCTCTTTTTCAAAGTTAAGGCCGTGTCGCAAACACACGCACGGGCAGGTTAATCATTTACCTTTTTTAATTAAGGGATTATATGACGGTAGGCAAAATAGAGAACTGCATCGGACATGCTTCTTGTCTCTCATGCGTAAGATTTCGTGTTGTCCCCATATCTACCATAAAATCCTTTGGAAGCCTGAAAATTGTGACGTTGACCAGTTAATTTCGTATGATGCTCTTTGAAATCTACAAAGAGAAGGCATGCTCGATTGATCCTCCAATGTTGTGAAGTGTAGACATCAAAGGAGGGAGCCGTTGGAATATCGCTGAACATTAGTTGACTACCTGAAGCTGTAGTCACACACACACACACACACACACACACACACACGCACGCACGCACGCACGCACACACACACACACACACACACCTTGCCATACAGTCCGGTGCAGAGTTAATTTTTATTGCCCCTGGGAAATTGTATCTAGATATCATTGCTAGTTCAGTTATGCAAGTCAGTAGAATCGGCTACCTGACTACTATTAAACCACATCACCGATAACACCTGAAGCGTTACTAAAACGTCTTGGCCGAAGTCTTTTGTATTGGTTTGCCAGTCCGAGCAGAATATCCGATTCTTATGCATAAACAACGGATTAACAAATAACGCGAATACAACTGTCCCATTGGGATGTCTACATCTCCTTTGAAAGGTTTACACAAAACGTTCACGTAGACGGTGTCAAAGATGATATCAAAGATGATATCAAACATTCAGTAAACTTCAGATGACATTTGATTTCATTTTGGACGACTTGTCCAGCATCTCTCTTGATATATATGTGTATCTATGTTCATCGCGTTTACAAATCCCCCATGGATCACAGAAACGTTTTTCCTTATTTTTGTCGTGTGAGACAGCGAGTTGTACGAAGTTGAAATTTACATTTTCACATTTAACCGGAAAATGATATTCTTTTCTGAGATTGCAAACATCAATCAAATCCTTTTGGGGATTTTTCAGAATCCACGTGATATTAACTCTTTTTGTCTCCAACACATTTTTGTAAATATATAGACAATCCTTCCATGGTATTATGAAGGATTGCTGTTATGAGTGAGTGAGTGAGTATGGTTTTATGCCGCTTTTAGCAATATTCCAGCAATATCACGGCGGGGGACATCAGAAATGGGCTTCACACATTGTACCCATGTGGGGAATCGAACCCGGGTCTTCGGCGTGACGAGCGAACGCTTTAACCACTAGGCTACCCCACCGCCCTATATTGTTATGCAGAATGAGGACAATTTATATGGAGACACATCATCGTTATTCTGTATAGGCGACGTTTCGACATAGATTCTAATGACGTTGCTTGATTCATTCTTCATCTCCTCAACTTCTAGAACGCCAATCAAAATTATTGGTATTCTTTGAAACGGGATATGATCATGCATTTACTCTATAGTACCTATAAATCTCAACGAACACAAAACAGGAATGAACAGGTCTTCAGATTTTAGAGTCAAGTCAAGTCTGATAGAACTGATGCCTGTTTGTTTTCACAGTTATCAGACCGCCTTACATGTAACATTAGCTGATATGTCATGATGCGTTTACACTGTAGTACCTCTAAATCTCAATAAATACAAAACAAGAATGACCATGTCTTCAGGTTTAAGAGGAACCCGTAAAGGTCCGGGTTAGAATGAGCCTTCAGTAACCATTGCTTGTCAGAGGCGACTAACGGGATCGGGAGGTCAGGCTCACTGATTTGGTTGACACATGTCATCGGTTCCCAATTGCGCAGATTGATGCTCATGCTGTTGATAACTGGATTGTCTGGTTCAGACTCGATTATTTACAGACCGCCGCCATATAGCTGGGATGTTGATGAGTGCGGCGTAAAACTAAATTCACTCACTCACTCACTCACTCAGGTTTTAAGAGTCAAGTCAGAATTGATAATACTGACTGCCTTACATGTAACCTCAGTTGATATGTCATATGCAAGAATCTGCTAAATCAACACATTTTGAAAAATATAACACCATTCTCATGTAAGGCAGCGAGACAGACGGCAGATGGCTAGGACAGAAGTGATTTCAATTCGTTTTCCCCTTTTCCGTTTGTGCATCCTCTACCGGTGACAACCTCAAGCATTTTGAAAATCATCCAGCATGTTCTTCTGCTGACTGGCCCACTGCTTTGCATATGCTTCCACAACATCCAAAGTTGTGGTCCCGATTGGCAGGAAGTTGCCATATGACTGTCTTTAACTGTATTTCCTGTATTTTCAGATATCGTTACATCAACATCTTTTGGTTCTGCTCCAACTGGTTCGCCATGACGATTTTAAAGTTGTGGTCCCGATTGGCAGGAAGTTGCCATACGACTGTCTTTAACTGTATTTCCTGTATTTTCTATCTGTCTTCTATAACTGTATTTCCTGTATTTTCAGATATCGTTACATCAACATCATTTGGTTCTGCTCCAACTGGTTCGCCATGAGCAACTCCTGCTACAACCCCTTCATCTACGGCCTGCTCAACGTCAGTACCACGATAGCAACATCATTATTTACCCCGGAATACCCGGGTTTCGCTGAATATCTCTCAGTTGGTGTCCGTTTGTACCAAACGAATAGCTCTTCTGTGATCGAGATTTGCACACATTGAAACAAATCTTATTTGACTTCAACATAACCTAATGTACGCTTCACAATCCCGAATGTATAACCAAAACATCGTCATTGAATCTAATTAATTCTTCTTGAGTAGTCATGGCGGAAAGAGAAACTTCCATTTGAATAAATAGAGCTTAGCTTTTTTAGCCTAATACCTATGTCTCTTGATGCCAGGACGTGTGATTCGAATGTGCGCTTTTCTCACGTCTGAGGTACGTTGTATCAATCCATACTCAACCAGGGAACGTAGGAAAAAAATTCCGATGAAAAAGGGCTTATCCCCTTGGGCTGTTGACTGTCACAATTCTAAAGGTGACACTTGGTCCTCAAAAAAATACAAGCATCCTTTGTCAAAACAAATCCACGAATAACGTAAAGGTGTCACTTGGCCCTCAAAAAAATACAAGCATCCTTTGTCAAAGTAAGTCCATAAATAACGTATATAGCAATATGAGTGTCTTTCTTTCGAGCTCTCCGTTAAAGCACATAAAAATACTATGTATATCCTGCAAGTGTGTTGATTTTGAAAGTTCGGTTAGTTGTACAGCCTTAATGTGTGTGCTTCGTTTCCCTATGGTTTGTTCAGTGAACAATGTAGACTTGCTTTCCTTTCGTTTCTGACATTTGGTCCGATCAAAATTTTCAAGCCATTTTCATGAAGCAGTAGGTTGTTATATTACTGAAATAATATGAAGGGCATAACAACAATCTTAGGCACCAAAGAAGATCAATGCTAGCTGTATCTTCATGGAAAGCAAAATATGATGTGTGCAAATATAACAGTTCGATCCTAATCGATAAAGTTGCAATGAGAATTACAAAAACATTATTGCTAAATTTCCGTAGCAGTTTCCTTCTTCGCGTAGGCGCAATCTGTCCTTTAATTTAAGACATGGTATTTCCCCTGCTTCTAATGATCGTCAGCCAATCAGATTTTAGTAAGGTATGAGGTTGTTTTTAAATATCATCAACTTATACATGTGAAGAAATTAACATGGTTTCTTTTTCATTTCCTCCAGGAGAAGTTTAAGCGAGAGTTCAGGATCCTGTTCTCCATGTGCCCATGCCAGTGTGCACAGAAAGAATACAAGAAGGAATATACGGACTACTACAGTGAGGACGGCAACCAGACGTTTCGACGATGCAGCATGATGAGAAACCCGGCTGTGAGGTACAACTTCAACAGGGACGAGCACAAACGACTGTTCCGAAGGTCCACGGAAATGACCGAGACATCCCAAATCTGACTAGGACGGGACCGGCGCCATCGAGATGCAGCCAAAGCTCTGAATATTTCCAGCGTTTGACATCCAATGTCCTTGCTGATTGTGAAGCTTAATGTTCAGGCGTTGTGAATCCGCATAGTTGATGGACACAGATGTTTGGGACATTGTACAAACATGTGACATCCCAGACGAATTAATTAGCTTGCTGACATTATGGCGCTTGTCCCAACCGAGGAATACTCACACTCGCTATTCCCGTTTTGTTTTGACTTCAAAATCATATTTTTTAAATGTGGAAGACTTCTTCATGAGCTATCAATGAACGAGGAAAACGCTGCTGTTCGTGAAGACAGTTGTGGATGATGTAATTTGAGGTCATGGACAACCATTCTGGGTAACTAGACACGAAGGCTAAGAGATCATATACATCGGCTCTGACTCTGACTGGCATCGGACAACAGGTTTCAGAAAGGAAGCTGAAGGCGTCCCTGCTGTAGGCGTTGGTGCTTGCCATTTAATGCATTGCCCCGGACAAACTTGGGGATTTTGAGATGTGTAGTGCAATAACCAAACACTCTCTGACGGTTCTTAGGCACACGTCTTGTCATTATCTCGTGAGACCACAGTCTGTCCATACCAGTATGTGCACTCCGACGTCACCTACTCACCCCATTACCTTGGAAGGGGGGTGGTCTCGTCGTGTGGGTGTGGTGAGATTGATAAATAGTGTGGACAATGTTCCAGTGTGTGAAACGTTGCCTTGATCAAACTCTTTACTCTTGTCCGTGTGACAAGCAATCAATGGCAACGCTATCAAAGGTTAAATGTAATAATGTGCGGTTCCACGGAAGCTCTGATTCAAGTCCAGATGACAAACACTTGGATTTGTGTAAAAGCGGAACGACCAGCTATACTTGTTCAGAGAAGTACAATGCTCAGACATAGTGTTGAAGCCTTTAACCAGACATGAACATCGAGGATAACCAATGGGATTGAATATTTGTCAATAACGGTGTTTGCTGCTCAATAAACCTTCGTGTCAGTGTGAAACAATTAGCCCTAGGGTTGCTATACAAGCAAACTAATGGCATTTCCAGTGTTGTGAGGTCTAATTCCTGATTGCTTGATTGCAATTATGTGACTCTTCGAACCAAGTTATGTGACCTACAAAATGTGCATTACACGCCTCAGGGTGGGATCTCACGGAAGTGTTTTCTCACGGACAAATCACAATACTGGAACTCTTAATCCATGGTTGATGGTCAAAGATCGCTCGTTAAGAATTGGCTGGAAGGGTCACAGCGGTGCCTGGATACGCGTACCAGCCTTTACGTGTTCCTAGATATGATTTGAGATTGGTTTCACCAATGACCTGTGTATGTCGTGGACTGACACACGAAAACTGATTCGTTACTGTTGACAGAACAAGGCTGTTCTACCCAACTGGAAGGTTTAGCTAGGGTGTAACAATAACTTTCATTTATGAGAGATCGCGGTGGATAAACGGACACAACAATGGTGATTTTACCACGTATTGCCGTATAATGGAAGAAGCCGTATATAAAATACGTTAAAGATCCGCTAACTTGGTTTGATGGATTGATCACATAATATACAAACAGACAATTCACAATCAGGCTTCATTAGGTGATAACTATAGGGGAGCAAAGAAAGCATTTGGGTTGGTGGGCAATGGTCATGGTCTGTGTAATGGAGTTGAAGCTGCCCCATGGGGTCGGGTCAACTTTTCTCTCCATTTCATGTTAGAGAGAAAATCAATTTAACAAAAAAAACAAAAATTATACTCTTAACTTTCGACACATTTGTATATTGGGTTTATATCAAGAAGAAACCTCAAGGCTATGCTTCTGCTCCTCTAGAGTCAAACAACAAGTTTGAAGGATTTGTAAATACGACATTCAGTGCTGAGAATGATACAGGACATTCTTGAAGACACCGTGTGTCTGTGGAATAATGCCCAGGTTGACGATTGGGGTGCATCAAAGATCAGCTTAGATGTATGACTGAGGAAGTCCTGATTTGAAACCTATTGAAATAGAAACCGCAAGTGTCATGTAAGATTACATACTTCAACATTAAGCTGTGGGGGCTTGGAGAATATCGCTTTTGTCCTCATGGCATAATGAATACCATACATAACGGGCCTTTAACAATTGACACTGCATGATATTATGGCTGATGTAATCTTCAATATAAACAAGACATATACACACATATTTCTATCAGATGTAATTTGTATTAGTTTATTAGAGCCTATCAATATTATGTGTTTAACTCCTGTATGTTTTGCTCGGTTTTCAATGTAACAACCGTGTGTGTATGTTACATATTTGTATATTGGGATCCATATGTATGACGTCACTTTCATTTCTTGGGTTGTGCTGGCATGTGAATTATTTGCATTCTTAGATTAAAGCAGTCATGTATTTACTCAAAATCACTAAGATTATGTTTGTATGTAATAATTCATAAATGTTCAATTCAATAATTCAATAAATGATCGATGTCAAATTCCTGGAACATGTGAACAGTGTGATGTATATGATTACTGAATATGATAATAAATTATTTCAAATTATTGTTTATTGTCAAATTATTGTCTGGTATGAGATGGAAATGTCTTCTTGTGATTTTCATAAACGTGTGTGGTACTGTTCATATGTCACAAATCAATTACATAAAAGCCAAACCATTTCCATAATCTTAAGAATTCAAATAAAAGCCAAATCATTTCCGTAATCTTAAGAAATGAAAGTCAAACCATTTCCATAATCATATGAAATCTATTAAGAAGTCCTCTGAACTAGTTCGAAAGTATAACAAGCATTTGTTCATGAAACACCATCATATGGTGACGATACTTAGCGTTAAGACTATTGTAGGCTAATGTTAAAGTATGTCAGTTACTATCACCTTAGAGCCAAAATTCGCTTTGTGTAACGAGATATTGGGGTTCGCCAAAAGGTGACCTTATGATGCCCGGACGATGGAGCCAGTCACAAACACATTCTACGCCAAGTCAATTGTTCGTCTAAAACCAAACACAGAAACATATGGTAAAAGTAGGGAATTGTGTTAGATATTCATAAGTGGTTGATAGACATGGAAATACACTTCTCGTGTCTACCACGTCAAGCTTTACTAACGCCTTGAATACTGTAGCCCTGATAAAGCAAAGCAACGCTGGCGGCGGAGAGTAAGCGGATGGGTGATTGTTCGCTAGCTTGCCAAATGAGTAATGCAAGTGTTTCAGCCCGGCTCCATTTTGAAACAGATGTTAAATGTGGTGGCTGAGGTAAGCTACAATCAAGCATCTTTGAGTCGATGTTGAAGATACCTACTCAGGTACTTCGAGTTATCCGAAGTTCGACACACACACTAATGATGGCTAAAGGATTACGTGGGGCCAAGATTTTTCTTCGAGGCAACCATATGTTCGACACTTCAAGGGAAAAATGTGACCGTTAAAACCTTTAGCACCTAACAAGGCAGTTTGGGTTGCATATTCATGAACGGGCTGAGATGTTTTTGTTGGTACCAAACCAGTGCAGCCAACCAGGTCACACGCTACTTCACCTGATTTAATAAGACATTTTATATGCAAGGGTGCTGATGCCCTCTCGTACTTATTGTCATGTATTAAATCAAGTACGCTTTGTATTCATTAACGGCTTGACAATGAGTTCGGCATTGTTTGTAAAATTATGGAGCAGAAACCTTCAAATCTTCAACAAGGACCTCCTCAAGTAATATATGAGTCATATTTTCGAGAGTTGTGAAATAGGAGTCTTCAGAGAGCACGGTGTGAAAGATGCCTTACATTTCACAAGGTGCATAAAAAGGTTATGTGGTATTGAATAGTTCTGAGGATTTATTGTATGCTTATACACATACATTATTTATAAATATTTTTAAAACACGTTTAGTGCTTTCGCATTTGAAAGTATTCAGCCTTGAGTTTCTGGGGGTTTTTAGTATACTTTACTGTACACTCGATTTGCAGGTTCTATTTACACTACATCTTTTAGCATGAGAGAGCATGAATTAAACATGACTAAAGTTCAAATATTTGGAATACGTTTCTTCATGTTAGAATTATGTTGTTTTGTACTGACGTTTTAAATAATATTAATATCTGTAAAATACGATGTAATCAAGTGCAAGATGAATAATATTTAATCACATGAATGCAAACTGTCTCCATAACCATAAACGTTTCTTTGGCCATTGTTCTGACTTTTTCATAAGCTGTAATACTGCCGACGCGATGTAAATTATTTACTCACTCACTCACTCACTCACTCACTCACAAACATGTGTTTATGAATCACTACGGTAATATTGCTGCATAAAAAAACAGATGGTTCAAGGTTGCAGACACTGGTTCCTGGTGTTCTCAGACAGCCCTTACTTCTGCAAAATGACGAAGGTCTGTAAACAACCACGACTGGACCTGACAAGCCAAAAATGGTTATAATGAGCAGTGAGGCAAACTGGAGCATTGAGGGTCCAACATGACACCTTCATCCAAGCCACCGAACCTGACCACCCAACTATAACTGAGTGACATACCATCAAGCATATAGTGAGTGAGTGAGTTTAGTTTTACGCAGCTTTTTAGCAATATTCTAACAATATCACGGCGGGGAACACCATAAATGGGCTTCACACACTGTACCCATGTGGGGATCGTACCCGGGTCTTCGGCGTGATGAGCCAACGCTTTAACCACTAGACTACCCCACCACTCCCATCACGCATATAGAAACATGTTTTAATATAAATGACGTAAAAAGAACACAAATATCGATAATGATATTTTTCATTTGATAAACAAATTCAAAGAATTTTGAATAAACACGGAATCACCTCATGGAATAGTTGTACATTTTCTGGCAACCTTTTCCAGCAGATGGTATGTATTTGCAGTCTAACTAATTCCTTGATGAGATGTCTAATTCCGCTCTGATGTGACTGACTGCATGTATTTTTAGTTCTGTGTGACTGATTGGTCTGATTGGTTTGATTGGGTCGGCCTCTCAACTCAGACAGGTCACTGTCCATCTCAGACCAAGGGGCGAATCCATATTAGACTCCACATTGGAACAGGAACTGACATGAAGAATAACACGAACTTTGGAGATCTTAATCGGGAACACTTTACCGAAGAAACCATATCAATTTCCATGTGTGGACTGTGCATCCTTCAAGAACATGCATCAATTTTGGCAACTTGGAAGACGTAAATTGCGAAACAGTTTACTGCAGATAAAAGCGGGATCAGTTTCCACATATGGGCTCGTAGGCCTCTGCATTTTTCAAGTAGATGCAGCAAATTTGGCAACTTTGGAGACCTAAATTGCGAAATAGTTTACCGAGGAAACGATGTCACTTTCTTTATATGAGCACGTAGACCTCTCCATCCGTCAAGAACTTGGGAGACGTAAATTGCGACCAGTTTCCACATATGAGCTCGTAGACCTCTGCATCCTTCAAAAAGATGCATCAATTGTGTTCGGTTACTGTTGAATATCCAGACATCAGTGTACTGAATGCATGTAATACGCTAGTCTATACATGCTACAAAGGCACCAAAAAAGCGACAAATTTCATGTAGACATACTACTCATTTTTTGTAAAAGCCATGCATTTTTTGCGAATTGGGACAAGAATGTTATTTTCTGAAATGTTGATTCGTTTCAAAATTTGGTGAAACAAAACCGGGAGCGGTCATGATTCTTATATAACTGTTCAATCCGTTTGTGTTTGTCTACAGACTGAAATATATTTTTCGTTAATTTTATTCAAGCTAAACACACGGTCGTGAGGTCATTTATCATATGCTGTGGTACTTGGCCTTACTGACTGACTGACTGAGTTTGGTTTTACGCCGCTTTTAGCAATATTCGAGCAACATCACGGCGGGGGACACCAGAAATGAGCTTCACACATTGTACCCAATGTTGACGAGCCAACGCTTTAACCATTAGGCTACCCCACCGCCCCACTTGGCGTTACAATGTTAGCAGTATACGTCAGATAACATTACATCTCCATCACTGCCAAGGTATTATAAAGTTAGAGGACCACTCCGAAAGGACACATGTAATATACATGTGTTTTTGTATTACAAAAGTACACCGCCATTAGAATTTCGAACTCATTCTATTTCATTAGGCACACAATACCTCGAGCTACAATTGAGTAGTGATAAAGTATAGATGAGTCCATTGATAAGGTATGCATGAATCCATTGTAGACCGTGCAAATCGAAATCTCACAGCGTGACCTTTTTCAGTAGGGAATAGACGATGGGTGTAACGGTTCATATAACACCCAAGACTGCTGCCAGGGCGAGTTGTATAATGTGATAGTCACGGGAACTAGTGAAACCACTTTATCAGATGTAACATGTGTTATATTTCGGATTACACTTTCTCAGGAAAGTATCGTGTGTTCATGCTTTATCAAATTCCAGTTTGGATTCCCTGCAATACTGGCCAAGATGTTTGTCGCAGATATCATTTTTGTACAAACTGACTGGCCCTACAGCTTCATGGCCAATGCAATATAAACAGGATGAGCGATACAAATCTAGTTTTACTTTTATTCCGACCTGCCAAATGCATTGCACAGCGACAATCAATACACCCTAAAGTTCAAACAAACGGTTTAGAGCCGGTGTTCGCTCGTCACGCCGAAGATTCGAGTTCGAGTCTCCCATGGTACAATGTGCGAAGTCCATTCCTGATTTTTTTTTTTTTGTAAATATTGTTGAAGGCGGCGTTATTCAAACTCACTGAGTCACTGGTTTCGAGTAGTACTTGTATTTAGAAAATCTAAAATTTACCCCAAGCTTGCATTTGAAGTCGCAAATCACCCTCAGTCAAAGGATTTCACTCCGTCAAAACCGGAAATACTGTGTCCGCGTTCTTGTATAATTTATCCATTCTATTTCCCGGTCGGACATCAGATTCAGTGTACCATCTGAGGTTGCACAAAACCCAAATGTTTTCCCATAGACGGAAGGGCGGTGGGGTA